TCAAGATGAGGTCACATTGGATCAGGGCGGGTTTTAATTTGATGACTTATAAGAAGAGGGAAACTTGGACACAAACACACACACAGCAGGGAAATACCATGTTAAGTCGGAGGAGAGATTAGAGTTATGCCGCCTCACTTAGGGATACTGAAGATTGCTGGCAACCACCAGAAACTAGGAAGAGGCAAAGAAAGATCTTCCCCTACAGACTTCAGAGAGAGCATGGCCCTGCCAACACCTTGATTTTGGACTTAGAGCTTTCAAAACTATGAGAGAAGTCTCTGTTATGTTAAGCTCCATGGTTTGTGGCCATTTGATACTGCAGCCCTAGGAAATGAATGTACTATATCCGGGGCACTTTTCTCAGGAAGGAAGAGGTGGAGCAAGAGGAAACACATTCGGCTCAGACATCGTGAGGAACAAAGACAGAAAGTCTTGAGGGGTACGTGTATCCTGCTTCTCATTCCCTGGTCAGGAGACGAGCAGAGACACCCCCTCCCCCCACCAAGGTCACCCTTAGCAAGTACACACCTGCCATTAGCCTGACATTGGATCATGCTATACTTGGGCATGTGGCTGGCAGAGCAGGGAAAGGGTGTGCTGTTAAGGACTAGCCATTTGCCTAACAACTTCACTACAAATTCAGCCAAGTATCCTGGGTACATGTAGGGAATAAAAGACAAGAGAAAAATCAGATTTCATGTGGGTGGCTGAACAGATTGTGCCTGATAACACGAGACAATTAGAGAATCAGCAAGGAGAAAGAAAGATGGGCTGTGAACCAGAGAGGAATAAAAATAGCTGCTTGGTGGGGAGGGATGATGATGATGATGGTGATGGTGGTGGTGGTGGTGGTGGTGGTGGTATCAATGATAACAATCTCTCACATTTGTTACAACTTTATAGTTGGCAAAGCACTTCTAATTCATGAAGTCTAATTGTTGTCTAGTGAGGAAGGCCATTGGGGTGGGTGGGGCAAGAGGTCCCAGGACTTGCGCTTGGCACTGACTCCCAGGTTCTGCCTCTGTCAGTGTGTGCGACAGAGCCGAGCTGACATTGGCATCACCCTCCACTGAGTCTCCGTGTCAGGAGGTAGTCATGGAAACTCACTCCCTTCCTAAGCTGATGAGGAGAGAATTAGGTAGAAAGGAGGAATCAAGTTAATTGCCTGTCATCCCCTCTCTGCTCTTTGTGTGTTGATTCAAATTAAGCTTTTTCAGTTTTCTGATGTCAGCAGATACCAAAGGATGAGAGCACAGGCCTGGGAGTCAGGACCTGCAGGAAACAGCCAGTTCTGAGAAAATCCCTGAACCCTTCTGCTTCTCTGTTTAGTTCTGACCCAAGCATTCAGGAAAACAAATTTCTTTGCCTGACCCCTAACCCCCTCCCCTGCCCCTCGATTTCTGACCCAAACTCTCTGAACTGCCTTCATTTAACCATCTCTGACTCTGCATCCATTCAGCCAGCCATTCCCCTCCTCTTGCAGAGAAAAGAGCAAAGAATTCAAATTGAATTCTGCATTTATTGAAATTCACTGTAGCTCAGAGGGAAATAATTAAATAAGTCAGTTAAGTAAGTCGTCTGTGATGTGTGTTGCCCACATGGAGGGAAGTGGAGGGAAGATCTAGAGGTTTTCGGCAAGTGGGATCACCACTAACTCAGTTGTCACCTGTGCAGAACTGGAGGAGGTCTCCAAGGATGAGGCCCTTTCCTTTCCTGTCCTATGGTCTCCTCTCTACAGCCAGATGGAATTATTTGAGATTCCTTGCGTGCTCCTTGCTTGTTCATATCTTCAGCTCTTCAAAGGTTTTTCTCTGCCTGGAACACCCTCCGTACTTCTTAATTATGTCTTAACCCTGACAATACTTGTCTGGGAAGCCTCTTTAGGGCTGAATAGAGGACTTCCAAAAACCACGAAATCCCTTTACTATAGACAAAAAGCAGGTCATCAGTGTACACACAAATTCGACCCCCCACTGTACTACAAGCACTGGGGGCAGGGACCCTGTCTCCCTTGATGATGTTTCCTAGCACTATACCATGCCCGCACATGGAAGGTGGTAAACCAGTATTTACTGAATAAGCAGTTGATTTAGTACATGGTTGATGAAAGGAGTATAGAGGATGGTGTTTTAAAAGAAGAAAATATTTACTTATGATTTAGAGTTGAATGTTGGTTGTAATCTCTCTGGATTTCCATACTATTTGCATTTCAGCCAAATAGTATGGCGGGCCCTGAGGCCTTTTCTTAGGGCACAGAATAGGTTTGCCCCAAGAACTCTGCCTTGCTTCTTTCAGGCCAGCGTCTCTCCTGGAACTTTTCGCCACGTTGGCTCTGAAAGTAGCAAGCTGTGAGGTTAAGTGCTGGCCCAAGGTGGGAACTACAGAGGCAGAGGTGGTAGAATGAAGACTCCCAGGCTGAAGGGGCTGAAGAGAGTGCTCGGAATTCTTCTAGAAGGCTCTTCCTGGACCAGAAGAAAATTCTGGGAAAGGGATGTTGTCTCAGATTGGGGATAAGAGGCTGCTGTCTAGGGAAAAGATGCCCCTCAGTTTAAGGATGAAGGTGACAGGATGACTTTCTCCTTATATCTATATGGAGTTTATAGTTTTTATAGAAGAGTTCAGTATATTGGCACTCTTATCTGTCATTAGCCAATGGGAACAATTGTTCTGGACTTCCGTTTCCTTTTATATAAATGAAGGAGAGAGTAGAACCAAATGCTCTCCAAGGTCTGTCACCTGGTTTTATACAAACAGATTATGACTTTGCTGTGTGACTGTTTTAGAAGTTAAACGTGGCAGGAGAGTGAGAGCATTGCATTGGGCAGGCCGCCTCAGGAAGTTAAGGGGCGGAGGTGGGTCAGGCAGTCTGAGGATCTTCCCTGGACCCTGGCTCCGTTTTTTTCTCCTCGTCTTTTTTTCCCACCCGTTTCCCTCTCTGGTGGAAGGCAGTGTATCCTAGCGGTTAGTTGCACGGGCTTGCGAATCAGGTAGACGTACACTTGAACCCCAGCTCTGCCAGTTACTGAATGTGTGTGACCTTGGCCTGTTAGCCTGTTTCCTCATCTCCAAAACTGAGTTTATCTTCTCTTAAAGTTATCCTAAGGTTTTAATGACTTGATGGAAAGGAAGGATACACAATATGTGCCATCCTTCTTCTTCATAAATATATTAATACTGACATTGTCTATGTTTTTATTTTTAGAACTCTCATTTTGACATGGAATTTTATTAATTTTAACCCACTGTCCTACTTGTTTTCTGTTTATTTTGCATGGAAAATCCTAGGAATCATGTACTTTTACTTCTTCAGATATGTAACAGTTATAGTCCCCAGTTCTGCTTGCCCGATAAACCCCTTGAGCTAGACGGCATGAGGTACATACAGGAAACTAGCAGGCACACAGAATTTTTCCACCAGACTTACAATATAAATACTATTTTAGGCAATAACATTTTAAAAATGCTGGCATTAAAAGCATTCAGGAGTAACAGGTAACTAAGTTACTGGGGGTATAAATTTCCTTCTTACACACTTAAGGGTTAGAGGAATAAAGATGGGGCAAAGAAGCCTTGGATTCTTGTAAAGTTCTTGTGTACTTCAAAATTTTACCAGCATCGCAGTGGACATCTGTCACACCTGTGCACTAACAGCTCTTCACAGTAAATTTATTGAAGTTCAAGATAACACTTCATAAATTATCCATAAATTGTACCTGGATTCTCTAGGCAATGAGAAATAGCTTCTGTAGGTGAAAAGGGAAGTGGTGAGAATATTCAAGTTCCTTCTAACTGCAATTTTGAATAACATCATCGACACATTATTTCTATTATGCCTTTCATTTCAGTTGTTGGAGCGGCCCTGTGCAGACTCTGCACTAGGCCTTTATGAAGACTGTCCATGTAACATCTTTGGACAGCTACCCTGCCTGCTGCCCTCAGTTCTGAGGTCCTCTGACAGTCTAGGGGAGTCCCTACTACTCTTACAGGTGAATGAAAAAACACAGAAGCAGGTGGTAGGCAGGAGCTGTCTTCTTCATTGTCATCGATCCAGAGCCTAGGAAGTGACTGGCACTTTGTAGACACTTAAGACTTAATGGATTTAGGGTCTGAAAGTATTGGGTCTCTGTTAAGTAGGAGATGAAGATGCCTGGGTAGGAAAACCTTATAGTGTTGTGAAAAGCATATCTAAGGCATGTTATGAACCATAGAGTTTAAAGTGATTCTATAGTTGGAGTGGCCACTTCCTTAACGTCCTCATCCTGAATTTCTCTGGAGTTGATTCTCCGAGAATACAGGAATGGAGTCAGAGGACCTTCTTAGTGAGAGCTACAGGGCAGGGGTAGCAAGGTTTGAAAGCAAGCCCAGGTCCCAATGTGGGACAATATCTCCCACGGGGTGAGGAATTTCCCTCATCAGCTGCAGCCAGATTCTACAGAGAATAAGGTGCCCTTATAATTCAGCATACAGCAAACAAAAGGAATGACCACAAGGGTATGGGCCCCCAACTGCACAAAGTCAGCCTGTTGGTTTAAGTAGAGGCTTGAAGGAAGAGAAACCGGCTATTCTGCAATGGTTTACTGGCTGAGATTTCAAGGACCCCTGGCGAGTTGACAATTATATCTGTTCATTTTTCCATCACTGTGATGAATCATGCCTCTGATGACAAGTGTGTGTGTGTGTGTGTGTGTGTGTGTGTGTGTGTGTGTGTATAGAGTCATGTTTTAGGAGCTTCTTTCTGAATTATTGCTTGTCACTCAGGGACCTCCCAACCACTTGAAGACTGCCAGGATGAAGTCAGATTTTAGCTGGGGACGTAGAACATTATGTTTAGGAAGAAGCAGTTGGTTAAACCTGCCACTCAGGGAGGTCCTGGCTCTGGGAGTCGTCTTCCTATCTCACGCCACAGAACACAGCACTGTCGTTCTGAGCGGGCCCTGGCCAATGGCCTGATGGCCTGTCAGCTAAGGGTGGGCACAGGGAGTCCACTCTCCTCTCCTTCAGCAAGACAGGATCTTGAGGAAGGCTTTACGGAACTCGACATTGAAGGTGGTATAGATCACGGGGTTGAGGGCACTGTTCACGTAGCCCAGCCACGTGGTGGCGCTGTAAAGCTCTGGGGACACATGGCAGGCTTGGCAGTGAGTATTGAGAACGTGGGTCAAAAAGAAGGGCAGCCAGCAGACAATGAAGGCCCCTGGGTTGCAAAAGAAGAGAGAAACTGGGTCAGGGGTTTGCTTACTCCTTGTGTTATAACATGAAAATGACTCACCGTTGTTTGCTTTGTGCCAGCCACCATGCTGGAATTGTACATGCCCCTTTAATTTTTACACCAACCCTATGGAGGAGGTGTGATTAGCCACCTCATTTTTCTTTCTTTCTTTTCTTTTCTTTTTGGATGAGAAAATTACATGTTTACATCTTTGATTCATCTCGGGCCTTTGTTCCTAAATCAACTTTTCTAGCTTGATATTTAGGTAGCTCTTTACTAGTCTTTTCTACTTCTCAGTTCAATTCGAATATTTACTTAATGTCTAGCCATGCAAGACATGACCCTAGGCACTGACAGGGAAGAGGACCTTAAAGACATGACTGACGTTTCCTGCTGTTGAGATTACATCCAGGTATCCTCATAAAGTCCCTGAGACACGAGAAAGGAAGGTTTGTCAATGGCAGTGAACAGGTTGACTTGTCTTCACTAACTCTACATGCTATCTGTGATTTGTCGACTGTTTCTCTTTAAATACATTTTCTATTTTTCTACTATAAAAATGAACCCTGATTTTGTACATTATGGAAAACTTGGTAAATACAGAAAAGTAGAAAGAAGAAAAATAACCGCCCACCACTCAAAGACAATCACTTTTGACATCTTGGTGAATTAATTTTCATGTTTTTCTTTCTCCGTCTTTGAAATAATCTAGATGTTATCACACCATATGACAGCAGTTTTTTGCATCCTTATTTTTTCACTTAATATTTTAGAATAAGTAAGCCTTTATTAAATATTCAATATATGCCAGACACTTTTATTGAATTATTATCTTATTTATTGTTTGATTTATCCATTTTAATTTCACGGGATAGACAACAAATACAATGAATAAATGCAGTTCAGTTAGGTCACATGTTCAATTTTATATTTCATAATTTCTGCCCAGGTCTTTTGAGTTTTCCCCATAGTTAACATTGATATGCAAACCCTTCTCAATTGTATTGCAAGCATTTATAAATATTACCATTATTGGATTTCCATTTCTGACAAATGTGTTTCCTTAGTACCCTCTGCCAGCTCCACCAAACTCAACCTAACCCAACCAAATTCAACCCAACTCAACCCAACTCAACATGATCCAAACTCACCAAGCACGATTGCCAGCATCTGGGTTGCCTTCTTCTCCCGAAGTGGCACTCCACGAGGCTGCAAGGGCCCCAGCTTTAGAGATGTCGACAACCTGCCATTACTGAGTTTTCGAACCTCTAAGCTGAGCTTGGGTGCCATGGTGGGGCTGAGGGAGTTCCGAGTCCTCCCCTCCCTTTTCAACTCTCCCCCGGCTTCTTGGAATCCGGGTCGCCCCAAGGCACTATCTTGGCAGATGCTGTAGTAACGCTTCAGCTCCATGTGTGCCTGGCTAGGGGAGAGTGGCTGTAGGTGGGACAAGAGAGGATCCTGACATTTTTGGGGACACTGTTTATCTTCTGCATGCTCCTGAAAAGGAAAGGGCATGCAAAGAAGTTAGAGAAAATCATCATTCTGTGAAACCTCCGGAGAGCACATCTGAGAGTGTGGGATCATGAAGAGTTAAGGTACATGAAATCTGCTTCTGACTTCACAACTAAAAAATACCTACCAGATATAGAACATTTGAGAATCACAATGGCCCCTTGAGGAGGGTAGTATAGGAGTATAGCCTGGTCTTTTTGAGTTAGAATGAGCTAGATATACAGAGGAACACGTGAAATGATGCTACTAAGATGTAAATCACAAAATCTGGAATGTGGGAAACTCTGTTAGACAAATGACTCAGTTTTTTTCAACAAATAAATGGCAACAATAACAACAATCGCATTTACCAGTTGCAAAGTATGGGTCTTATTTGAATTTTGAGTCAAATAAACTATGAAAGACTTGTAAGACAATTGGAATAATGTGAACACTGACTGGATATTTAATGATAATAGGGAGTTATTTATTTGCTTAGGGTTATGTATTATGGTCATACATTTTATAAAGTCTTCCTTAGAGAGTCTTACAGAAATATTTTTGCTGAAATGTTATGAGGTTTGAGACCTGCTTCATAAGAATCCAATGGGCATGGATGAGTGTAGGGGGGAGTTCAGATGAAATGAAATAAGATTGGCCATGAGTCAATTGCATGAGTTAATTAGCCCTGAGTTAGTTGTCTTTCTGCTTTTTTTATTTTTGAAAATTTCCATAATAAAAAGTAAAAAAGAAAGAAAGAAAGAAAAGATAAGAAAAGAATAAAGAAAACCCAGGATTTTCACCTCAGCTTTCCTACTTATTAGAAGGACCCTTGGGCAAGTTAATTAAATACCTTTGAACCTCATTTGTAAAACAGAAAAGAAGTTGGGAAATTTTGGTTTAGGTTGGTTGGCCCTGAGAGTATGTGGACATTTCTGGTTATTTGGTGGGGATGTGTGTGTACTCAACATCTAAACTTCTTTCCATGTTTGAAGAATCAGACACTATATCAATCTCCAGTAGCAGGCAGGACCCCTTAGCTCCCATTACTGAAGGTATAAAAGCCATATATTCACTCTCCACACACCCTTACCAGACATCTAGAGCTCTGGCACATAAATTAAGCCCAGCCAATTAGAAATTTGCACCTAAGACCTTGAACCGGAGCTGGTGAAGCAGGGACACTTGAGAATTTGTCTAGCAGTGATATGAGTTCCAGGTCTTCCAACCTGGTTCTTCCTTAGGCATGAACAACATTGTCTGAAGTTATTCTCCAACCTTCTCACTGAGTCTGAGCTACTTAGTATCCTTCTAGTAAATTCTTTTTTCTTTATGTTAGTGTCAACAGCCAAGAATGCTCATTATTCTCTCCTTAGTTCAAGAAATCACAGAGCTCAAAGTGATCCTTCCCAGATTGTATATTGGTGAGTGTATTTTTCAGCTCTCTGCAAACCCTCATCACTATCTCCATGGCTGGCATGAAGAAACACTGGATTCTTTTGGGTCTGGCTGGCAGAACCCTCCACTCCCAGATGGTAGGACAGACCAATTTCTCCAAACTCCTGGCAATGCCAGCCTCTTGCTTCTTTATTCTCTCTTTGGTAGTCTCTGCTTTTTTCCTTTTGGGCTTGGAGCCTCCTCAGACCTTAGATCTGCTATAGGCAACTTGAACATTCTTACCTATTAAAAAAATTATTTACAGTAAGACTCTCTAACTGCTACACCAGGACTGTGTAAAAAGTGGTTAATTGGCTGTACAGAGATGGGACAAAACTCAGAATGAGTTCTTAAAATTTTATTCCTAATATTGGCTTGGAGTTCAGGGAGAGGTTTATTGATCTTCTAACGCCTCCATTCTGCACTCAGCTTGCTTGGGGAGGCAGGGCTGGCTTGAATTCTTGAAAGGACAAGGATAAGGGTGACCATGAAATTGTCTTGGTTTTCCCCCATATATAGTGGGAAATAGGACACTTGAAAGTCTCACATTAGCCTCTCTTCTGTGTTTTTCTTGGCTCTGCCCATGTGTATTTCATTGACACCCTATTTCTTCTAGCCAGGTGACTCTGGATGGCATTTTCACACCATGTCCAAGTGTCACTGGTTCCAGTCGTTGAGATCTAGCTCAAGAGTGATATGCTTTCTGTAGATCACTTGGTGATTCTTATTCTGAAGCTCAAATCAGGATCTCATATTTGTTATATACAAGAGATACAAGTATAACATTGGGACTATTCCATTCTGTGGTGAAAGTGGAAGCAAGTTAAGTCAGAGTGTTGAGAAAAGGTATCTTATATTTCTCCTGTAACCAAATACATGGCTTACTTACCATTTGTCCAGTGGCATCTGATGGAAATCTGTCCCTTATTGAAAACTGCCGAATGGAGTGCAGCCTCAGACAGGAAGACTAGGGTGGGTTGAAGGAGAGACAGTTGTAGGTTAAGGTCTCCATGGATGAACCATATAGATGACGATGTTTCAAATATCCTTAATGTTTGTCCATATCCTCAGCTTTAGGTCCTTACCTCCTATTTCATGGGAACCAATATTCTTGTTCTATCCAAACTGTGGGACTTGAATTTTGAGAGACTGACTCTCACTCAGGTCATTAAAGGTTAATCTGGGCATCCGCACTGGACCTGCCTTCAACATCAAATTCAGTTCTCACTCTGTCTATGAAGCCAGTTCCTGAGCATATTGACCTTTTCTCTCATAACCTCCGTGGCACTTCTATTTCGGTGCTTAACTGTCTTCATCTCAATCCACAAACATCCCGGGGCTGTTAGTTAACTTTGGGTAGAGGGGTGCTCTATCTGCTTGTCTAGATTCTAAACTCTATGAAGGCAGATGCTGTATAATATTCCTGCTGACCCTTCCCTAGCAGATGGCAAGCATGTGCTGGACATGGGGATGAGCCGACTTTCCAGATCAAAGCAAATGGAAGATCAGTGCTGAAGCAGCTCCTTTTCAGAGCCTTGAAAGGCCCAATAACACGTATCATCAGCACTCCATTTCCCAAGTTGGTCAGCCCCTTGACACAGAGACACATCTAGTAAGAAAAAGAGCTTTCTATGGGCCCAGGTGATTCTTGGAATAAGTGGTCTGCTCAAAAGCCAATCCTGGGGATCTACCAGCAATGCACGGGACAGCTGCCACCTACAGCAGCCAATCGATGTGACATTTGTACCATTGGACATTTGAGGGCAATGAAGAACTTCGATGGAAAGCAGAAGACATCCAGAAACTATCCTATCATCTTGCCAAGCAGTGTGAGCTCTAGGGAAGACTCACAATGTACTTTCTGGATTTGATTTCCTACTCTAAAGCAGAGCCAATATGAGCAGATTCGAAGGTGGGTGTGAGATGTGTGTCTCTGATGTGGCAGCATGAGCAGAAGCAAGGACTTCTGGACACAAGGCTAGGAAGCTATGGGGTCGGGCACTGTTCTCCCTCTGCCCCTCTGAGGGGCTTACCTGTTGAGGGAAGCCAGGTCTGACACTGATGCACTGACTGTTCTGTCGAGTGAGGATCCGTTTCCGTCTCCTCTGTCTCAGCACCACGTAGATCCTGGCGTAGACGAGGACAGTCACTCCGAAGGGCAGGTAGAAGGACACCACTGAAGAGTAGATGACAAAATCAGGATTGGAGATGGAGCAGACACTGGGGTCTCCTGTGAGTGAGAGGAAAGGAGAAAACAAAGCAGTTTGCCAATATGAGACATCAGTGGGGAGCACACAAAATGGCCCCATACCATGTGTGGTGTCTCAGCCATTTAATCCACACAGAACATGGGGAAGCAAGGGTGCTGGACCCACCTCCCCCCTCACTGAGTCTCAGGTCACATGTGCCTCGTTTGTGGCGGCTTTCACCAGCTCCTCAGTCAGAAGCAGCTCCTCCTTCCTCTGTGTCCCACAGCCCTTGCCTTGCCTCTTCGCTGTGGTTAGCCCACGCGGCTGCTTGTTAAGTTGTGGGGACGGGGATATTATGTTGTCAGTTCCCTGAAGGGAGAAGGTCCAGTTCATCTTTGTGCTGTTCACAGTTCCCTTAAAAAGAAAATTACCCAGCGATTACATGCCAGACACTCTCTACACTGGGACTACAAACATGTCTGCCCTTGAAGGGCTCAGTCTAGACAGACAGGCGGTCTTCCTGAATGCTGTGTTCAGTGTCATGGAGGAATGTGGCCTGGGAGGCTGGGGAGAGTGTCATAGAGCAACAGGCCAGAGGCTCCCAGGAGTGAGGCAGCTCCCCAGAAAAGCGCCTGCTGGTGTGGAGGCATTTGTTGAGAATGCCAGATCTCCAATTTGAACCTGAGGTCCAGGGCAGGTCGGGGCTGAAGACGGGAAATTCTATATTTTAGGGAATCTCAGGACCAGTCAGGGAGATGGGGAGAGGGTTGTTAGGGAGATTGTCACTGTGGACAATGTGAAATGAGGAGCACCTTCGTCCCTGCTTTGTGACCTGAAATGCACCTGTCCCTATATTTTAGAGAGTCCCTGTGGTTTTGCCTTTTTTGCTACCAGGTGTTGAAATTCCTTCAATGTCCAGAATAAGGCCTGTAATGTGCCTCGTCTGGAAGAGAAAAGGGAAGAAAACAAGTATCTTCCAGATGGTGTGCCAAGGACTTGATGCATATCTTCTCACCTAATTACTGTGGCACAGGAGCTATTACTGACTCTATTCTCAGATAAGCAGGTTAAGTCTCAGAGAGGTTCAATAAATGGCCCAGCACCCCACACAGTCTGAAAGGGGCCCAGCCTAGATCTGTTTCTCCAGTCATTCTGACCTTAAAACCAACGTTCTTTCTGTGATTTTGATTCACCTCCCTCTACCACGATAACTGACTCCCCTCTATCACTGGGAGACCAGCACTGTCAGCAACAGCTGTTGGGACACCCAACCACTCTTCATAAAGGGTAGGGGATTCTCAGCAACCCCAGATCTGGCCTTGGAGGATACAGTCACAGAAGGGAGCTAATGAGGAGAGGGCTGCAGCCAGCCATATGGTCCCCTCATTCTGCATTTTGGTCTTCTGAGATAGGCAGAGGCCAGGTCTGGGGTGGGAGACCCAGGTCTGCCATTTACTAACTCTGGGGCACATGGCTTAACTACGCCAGGCCTCAGTTTCATTATCTGAAAAGGAGGATAAAAATAAGGTCTCATGGAGGGGTTGTGAGATTAAATGAGGGAAAATTGTAGCTATTATTATTACTATTTATTCTTTACTATGACTATGTATTATATACCTCCTCTGAGCTGTTTGAACTTAAAAGGCAAGGTATCATTTGGAATGAAACCTGTAGAGAGACTTACAAAGAACACTATCTGTAGGGGAGGGAGAGGAGCAAAGGCTAATAATTTAAGAAAAAAAGTGTACTCCATTCTCAGCGAGGCATTTTAATGAGAGCACTCACATGAGGATCTTGAGGAGCTGCTCCCAAGGTTTTTGATCTTCTTGGGAGGAGGGTAAAATTCAGGAAAAATTAATATCGTCTCGCCAAGTCTGTGTCAGCATCCTTTAGGAAATGGCTTATAAAACTTCGAGCAGTGGTCACCAGATGGACATTTTCTGGTGTTCTGGGGGAGACAGGGTTGGAGGTGGGACAGGGTGGCAGATGCTGGTCTTTCTGAACCTATCAGGACTCGTGTAGGCAGTGATCAGCCCTCTTCCTGAAATCAGCTCACCTGGGATCAGCATCTGACCGTGACTTAAACACCTCCTGTGAGGAGAGGCCTGAGCACCTTTTGCTAGTGAGAAGGGGGGCAGGGATAGATGCCCTCCCACTATTTGTCTGGTTACCATTGCTGGTGTTCGGGGTACATCCCATTCGTCCCTCCAGATATACCTTCGACCCTTCTGTACCCTCCTCTGGGTTCTGGGAAGCTGACCCCTAGATTTTATATATTAACTCCGACTTTTTTTTCCCCAAGTTTTTATTTAAATTCCAGTTAGTTATGGTCCAGTGTAATATTAGTTTCAGGTGTAGAATTTAGTGATTCGTCACTGACATACAACGGACCCCCAGTGCTCATCGCTACGAGTGTGCTCCTTCATACCCAAGGGTACTCACGCCTACTTTTAAAAGACAGGAGCAAAAGCGGGTATAGTATGCTTCCATTTGAGTAGAAAGTGGATACACCAGCACATGCACACACACACACGTGTGTGTATGCGTACTTGTTTCAAGCATTATCTTTACGATTATTAGTGTTTGCTTCTAGAGAGGGTCACAGGGCAGCTAATGATCTAGGGTAGAAGGGAGACCTACCTATATGTGTGTCTACGGATCCCCATACCTTCTGTTTTATCATGGGCAAGTATTTATTTTTCCATTAAAATATCGAAAGCAAACACATGAGAAAGAGTGACGAGAGACCACAGAGCTCTTTCACAATCACTGAGCCTGCACAGTCATCCCTTCCTCCCTCTCTTATCTGAGTAAAATGCTGCCCGTCCTTAGATCGAGCTCTGTGATCTCTCCCACAATTTCTCCAGGCCACAAAGTCCTGCGAGGTCTGCCGGTGGGTAAAGTGACCCAGGAGGCTGGTAACCAGTGAGTGAGGGCCTGCCCCAGCTCCCACTGGGACTGGTCTGGGTATGTGTCCTGTCGGCAGGGTAGCAATTCTGGAAGCTTCTCTCCGCTGAGTCCCAGATGAGGTGGTGAAGGCAATGAGGCCCCCCCGCCCCAGGAGATGAGCTGCCTTGCCTTGATTATTTAACCAAAACAGAACTGTGCTACTAGTACAGTAGCTATGGGATGAATACAAGAATGACGAATACAGGAGACAAATGGACAAATGAGCACATAAGCAGTCGCTGGCTGGAAGACAGTGGGGAAAGCCAGAGGGTCACACCTCATTCTCTGAGATGTTGGATGTTTAGGCCAACTAATCTTAACACTGAAGGAAGAAAGGATGATAAGAAGAACTCAACCACTTACTCATTCAACAAAAGTTTATGGAGCACCTACTGTGTTCCAGGCACCATGCTGGGTGACAAAATCCTTGGCTCCACAAAGGGGTGGGAGAGGCTTTTGTGGACTAGCCTGGGAACTTGAGACCCACAGTGATGCGAAGGGCAAGGCCAAAAGCAGGTTGACTTAACAGTTTCATGAGCTTAAAACTCATGGAAGGATTTGTCTTCACCCTGTTCCCAGAGACCCACCCACCTTTCCCAGAGACAGGAGAGCCTGATGCATCTGAATTCAGGATGAGCCTGTTATTCTTTTAACTTTCTTTGGTCAACCTGGCTTCCACCAGCTCCAGTGTTCTGAAAGCCAGGTGAGGGATTCTGTTGCTCAAATCTAGATAGTACTCCTATATTTCCTTGTTTCAAAGGAAAATTAAGACTATAAGTCTTGTGTCTATGAAATGAAAGGATCGGGCCGCCCATTCAGGGACTTTTAGAGTTTCCTCTAGCACCAGTACTCCATGCTGTCAATGATGGGGTGTTTAGCTAGTGCTGGGTCCCTGCTGGGAGCTTGGGGCCACACTGATCAGCCAGGGCCCCCCAACCTTGGCACTCTCTGTGACCGAAGGTCCTGCCTTATGTGCATTTCCAGAAATTCATGTTGCCCTTTTCTCGGACAGTAAGAATAACGCCGAGATGAAGGAAATTGAAGTTCAACTTTTTTCTGCCTTATGTTGTCTGATAATTCACAATCCCATAGGGCAGCTCATTTCATTAAGAAGGGCTCTGCTAGAAAGTTCTTTTGTGTTGCACAGCTTAGTGGAAATCCAGCCACTTCTGATATCAGGTGTCATTGGCCTTATCCTGCTCTTTTCTCCTCTACTTTTCACAGGGTGAGTAGAAACAAACGGCTGAGAGAAGTCATTTATATCGGGCTTTCATGTGAACTTAGGAACTTCCTTATAGATGGAACCCATATCCGTCAAGATAATGAAGCCGTACTGTGAAGGACAGACTGAGGCAGAGGAGGACAGCTGGGCTTCCACGCCTTGATTCTGCTCACCAGTTCCCTGAACTGTGTTCTAGGACAAGGTCACTGGCCTCTATAACCACCAGCAGAACTGTTGCTGCTCCGACTTTCCTGGAGCAGGTGCCTAGTTAAATTTTGACGCACAGAAACCTTTTCTAACACACAATAATCACAACAATAGCGGTAGCCAATATCCACTGGACTTTACAAAGGACCCGACACTTGGAGGCTACACATGAATAAATGGAGGGCTTACTAATTAATCTTATTAATAAACTTAAAAGTAAGAGAGAGGGGGGCCCCTGGTTGGCTCAGTCAGAAGAACATGATCTTGGGCTTGTGAGTTCAAGCCCCACGTGGGGGATAGAAATTGCTACAATAAGTAAGTAAATAAATAAATAAATGACTGAGAAAAAGTTGTGCTAGAATAAATCATGTACATCTTTCAAGTAAGAGAGAGATTGAAAGAGATGAGAGAGAAGTGAGAGTGTACATGCTAAGCCACAGGCATTTTTTGCCTTCTCAATTCTATATTTGAAAATCCTTTTGGAAAGACAGTTTTCTGAGTTTTGTTTCTGGAATAATAATGATCTCACTGGTGGCAACAACACTGCAATTAGCTCATCATTCATCTTCACTTTAGATGTTGACATTAACTGGGAACTCGGTCTAATTTCAGATTTTGAGACTGTTTTTAACTGTTACTAGGGTGTGTGTGTGTGTGTGTGTGTGTGTGTGAGAGAGAGAGAGAGAGAGAGAGAGAGAGAGAGAGCATGAGTACAACAGCCCCTGCCAACCTCCCAGAATAAATAAGAGGAGCCCCTCCACAGACTGAATGCTGGTGGGGATTTGCGGCTGGCCAGGGGTATGCGGAGCTGTGGTCTACTGGTGGTAGTGAGTCCCATACTACAGAGTCCAACTTTGACTAATGTATTTTCGTATAGAAACTAAGATACAGAAGGTGGCTTAGTTAGCAGACAAACCCAAAAAGCGTATTTAACACCCACCAAAAATAGCATTTCAATACCAGGCAGCCTCTTAAGAGTTGTGTTAGGGAATGTTGTTTTGGGGAGTATGTGTGTGTCCACAACCCTGTTTGTGTGTATAAAGTGTTATTCAGGGAAAACAATAAAGTAACAAATGGTAAAGGGTAAATGCAAACATGGTAGTAACATTATATTTTAGGAACTCCCTGAGTTAACTAGGCAAATATTCGCTGGATGACTCAACTACCCTTCAATATAGCAGACAAAGAAACCTGACCTCGAGTGCATGGTCTGTGTTTGGCTGGTCTCCATATGTTATTCCAATTTAATCCTCACTTAATCAGAAAAAAGCTCTATGAAGCAAGTACAGTGGAATTATTTCACACGTAGCATCAGATTTTAGTCAGTGATTAAAGTGAACATTGTTTAGAGCTGAAATTTGCTTTGAAAAAATCTCCTGAGTCACATGTAAAGATAGATATACACAGTCTCGTTACAGCCCTGAAGGTAGTGAGTAAAGACCGTAAGATACATACCTTAATACGGCATATATTATAAAGAGTTCAAACACAACATGCGGTTTTAGAAATGAAGTTGTTGGTCTTACATGCAGGGGTGGGCATATAAAAAATGCTGAAAATTAACTTGCTCAAGTATATTCTTCAGTGTATTATTATCCCGAAGTTATCAATAAGAAAACTTAGAAAAGTTAAGTAGCTTGTTCCAGGAACACAACAGGTAAGTAGCAGAACTGAAGTTTGAATGTAACTTTTCTGACTCCGGAGCCTCTCTCTGTCTTCCCAAATGTGTTTTGACTTTTGACTCGTTGGGCAGCAAATGACTCTTTGAGGACTATTCATAAGCTAGGATTTGCCAATATTTACATACAATGTGCTACATATAATATCTGTATACACATAAATACACAACTGTGTGACTTGTACATCTACACCAGAAACTAATGACCTTGGAAGATAGTAGGCATTAAACAAATCCAGATGAACACTAGAACATGACTCCATTAGTTCTCCACAAATACTCAGTGTTGACTTCATTATATGTGCTTACAGGAGTTTTCATTCAACACGTGAAATTCCTGAGGCTGAAAGATATACATGAAACAGCCAAAGAAGGCATTGTTCCATATGAGGTGTAATTTTGGATCAATGTCTTATGTCTAAAAAACCAAACATCTCAGATATTCACATTGTTAATCCATATGTCCATCCATCCACCCATCTGTCTGTCCATCCATCCAGTAGCAGATGTACCATGTGCCAGAATTTATGGCCAGAATTTTTGTATATTAAGATATAAGAAATACACTCTTCAGTAATTTAGGGATACTAGTTCCCAAATGCCAGAAGTGATTTTTGTTTAGTACAAAATGAGAAATATATATCCCATTTGAGGGCTTTTATAGTGTTATTTTGCATTGTAAGTCTATTATGTATTGTCATCTTTTCATTAGCAAATCTCACCTGAATTATTAATATAGTTTAATTTTTTTAACTGGCCCCTCGCTTCCCACAAGTACAATGACATTTCTTTCAAAACAAGGAGAGGCCAGATTTTTCACTAACCGGGGAAGAAATTTATGCTAATAATTGATGAGGTTCTGCTTTGTACTTGAATCAAAACCCAAAGCTTTGCAGTCTGTGGGATCCTTATTTGATTATGAGGTATGCTGATCAGGGTCAGAAATTTCCAGGCTCAGAAGCGCTCACAGTCACTCAAGTGTGCCGTGAATCCCATGGGTGTCGGTAAGAGGGGCCATCACTGTTACCTGTGGTGTTGAGGCCAAAGAGGAGAGGGCAGGAGACAGCAAAGGCCAGCACCCAGACAGCTGTGATCATGAGGGCCACACGTCGACAGGAGCTCTGTCCCGTGCCATGTTGATAGTGAACTGGCATGACTACTGCGGTGTACCTGGGAAAGGAAGTGGGAAGGGATGGCCATGATGAGAAGGGATGGAGGAATCATTCCAAAAGTGGACAGAGGTTCCTAGAGAACCAAAGAGGTTCTACATGTGACAGGAGAAGAAGAGTTTGGTTGGAGAAAGAGAGAAAGGGTGTTTGAGTGAAAATGGAGAAAGGTTGCGCTAAGAGGGGTGAAGAACTCTCTAAACAGGGAGAGGGGGCAAGAAGAATAAAGTTAGTAAAACAACAGACTGGGCCACTAGCAGGCCCCTTTGCCAGAGGTGGTTGAGGCCCAACATACCTGAAACTTGTACTCACATACCCGAACCTCCAAGACCCTGGGTGCTGGTCTGTGTGCCTTTTCTTTCTCCCACAGTATTTCAGATAATGATAGAACTGGGCCCAAAGAGGATGTTTACCCCTGCTTGTATCCTAATATAAATTCTACCCCTCCTAGTGACAACTATTCCAAGTGGCAGAGATTTTAAAAATAGAGATGAGTAATATCTAATGAAGACTTATTTCAAAACTCAGTTTTCATGCTCTCTTAGTCCATTCAGGCAGCTCCATCAAAAATACGAGCGACTTGGAGGCTTAAACAGCAAACATTTATTTCTCACGGTTCAGAAGGCTGTGAGGTCCAAGATTAAGGCACTGGCAGATTCGATGCCTGGGGAGGGCCCACTTCCTTGTTCATAGATGGCTATTTTCTCACGGGAACCTCATATGGCAAGACGGGTGAAGGAGCTCCTGGGTCTCTTTTCTATGGGCACTGATCTCGTTCATGAGGGTTCTACCCTCATGACCTCCTCATCACCCAAAGGTCCCACCTCTTAATACTATCACTTTGGGGGGTAGGATTTCAACATACAAATTTGGGGGAGCCACCAACATTGGGTCTACAACACACGGTTTTCCATGGTCAATGCACAGTTCTTTGTGTTATGGGACATTGTCTTTTCTGGGATAACTCCTCTCACACATTTCTAGCTACTGAGCCGAAAGAAAGCTGGTCCCGTACATCTACTCATGACATCTTCCCCATTTATTCATCATTTATTGCATCTCTTTCCTACCAGCTGCTCTCTGCGATGGCCACAGCCTCCTGGCTGGTCCCTGTCACCAGACTCTAAAAGTAGATTTCATGATGTCCTCCCCATCCTGGGCCCCCCAGCAGGAAACTGCTTGAGAAAGGCAGAATTCTTTTTTTTTTTTTTTATTTTTAAATTAACATATAATGTATTATTAGCCCCAGAGGTACAGGTCTGTGAATTGCCAGGTTCACACTTCACAGCACTCACCATAGCACATGCCCTCCCCACTGTCCATAACGCGACCACCCTCCCCCCCCACCAACCCTCAGTTTGTTTTGTGAGATTAAGAGTCTCTTATGGTTTGTCTCCCTCTCGACCCTATCTTGTTTCGTTTATTCTTTTCCTACCCGCCAAACCCCCCATGTTGCCTCTCAACTTCCTCATATCAGGGATATCATATGATAATTGTCTGAGAAAGGCAGAATTCTAAGACAGTCTCCAAGATGCCTGCCCTGTACTATTCCCCACATTGAATGGAGGCTGAACTTGAGAATATCAAGTGCTATCACTGCTGTAATTAGATTACTAATCAATAGACTGAGTGAATCAAAAGGGAGATTATCCTGGATGGGCCTGGCTTAATCAGGGAAGCCCTTAAAAGGCACTGGGCAAGTTCAATAATGAGACAACTGGGTGTTGTCTCATGGGTGGAGAGACAGAGTTCCCAAGTATGATTTGTTACTTATGACTCAAATCATGCTGTAGCCTTGGTAATCCTCAGAGGTCCTTGTACACCACTAGTAGTAAGAAGCTGTTGATTGCTTGCCTTGTGGATCCTGAAGACCTTCTACAAAAGAGGACAATTCGAATCCTAGCCAAGCTCAAGGACTCTAGTGTGTGTAGCTGTGTCTACAAAGGCTCAAGTTTTCTTTGTCTTCTCCTTGTCCAGGGAAGCCAGAGGCCAGATTCAGAGCAGGATCCTCCTTAGTTCCTCCTGGGTCCCTCAAGGCTTGGGTCCGAGGAAGGGAAGAACATACCCTGGGCTGGAGGGGCTGGGCACACATGCCTGCCGAAATCTTCACCTCTTGTGCACCTGGCCTTAGGGTTGATGTGTTAGCAATTGTATTCCCACAAGAGCAGCTCTGAGGGAGGAGATGGAGGCGGACTCTGCGAGACTTGGCCTTGGTAGCATGACATGGGGCAGAGGTGGCTTCTTTCTCAAGAGGGAGAAACAGAGGTCCTTATTTAATAAGCTCAGATTAAGATCCCACCATCCATCCCAGCAGCGGCCTGTGAGATCTCGGTTCCCCTTTTCTGAGGCATAAACGTAAATCCTCTCTTGAGTCCCTAACCTGGCGATCAAGGAGTGGGCGAGTCGTACCTGGTATTCCTCTAGGCTTGTCACTCTTCTCGGTACTTTGAACTCTGCTGGGTCAGTGGGCTGGGGCTTGGAGTCAGATCTGGCCCCTAGCAGTGATCCCTGAGGTGCCTTGGAAGAGAGGCTGAGCCTTGAACCCAAACGGCTATGGTGACCAGCCATTGGGAGATGGGAGGGAAAGGTATGACCCACTTCCTTCTCTCCGGACCTGCAGCTGTGCCCAGCCTTCTATTTACTTAATGTCCTTTCATGAAAAAGACGCTGACTGCCCCATACATTCGTGGTGTGCTGCTCAATAGCTAACAACTGGTCTTAAGGAGAAAACAGCCCTAACTGGTACCATCTGTCAATCTTCAAGGTGCAAATACTCCCACCGTTGCCCATTTCAAGCTACACCAAAGGTTTAATACCTGGCTCAACCAGTTCCTAAAATTTTGCCTTGCAGCCCTTGCTAGTCTTTATGAGCTGCCGCAAGCCTGCCGCTGAGCACATTGTCCTAGGTATGCGTTGATGTTCAGCAACACCCTGGAAGCTCCTGTTAATTCAGTCAGGGTAGGCAACGCTGGCTCCATTTTATTTCATTTGTTTATTTTTTAAAAGATTTTATTTTTTTAATTGACACAGAGAGGGTCACAGTGAGAGAGGGAACACAAACAGGAGGAATGGAAGAGGGAGAAACAGGCTTCACACTGACCAGGGAGCTCCATCCCAGGACCCTGGGATCATGACCTGAGTCGAAGGCAGATACTTAAGAACTGAGCCACCCAGGTGCCCCCTGGCTCCATTTTATAAAGGAGGGATTGGAGACAGAGAGAGGTTGCTTGATGAACCCAAGGTTCCAAAGCTGGTAGAAGAGCCAGGTGTCCCCCCCATTGAGGCCCATGTCTCTCCTGTGTGCCCCACTCTCTCAAGGGCACTGTCAAGTCTCTGAGGACTTGTGGGGACAAGGGCTTCCTCAGGGCAGGTGGCATTAAAGGGTGGTTTCTATTTGAGAGTACTTTGGATTCCCAGAAACTTCCTCAATTAGTTGGATTCTATTAAAGTGGGGGGGGGGGCAGCAGGTCCTGTTAAAATACAGATTCCCAGGCCACGCCCTGGCTATTCTAATTAAGCACTTCCAGAGTGGAACCCAGAAATGTGCATTTTGAACAAGCCAGGGCATCTTACAATCCGGCAAATTTGCGAAAAGTCTGAATTAAGGAAAATTTCTGTCAAAAATTTCCTGTTAACTTGGGTAAGAAGTGAGAGATGAAACTACACTTACTACTGTTACCTTCCATTTTTTTTTCGTATTGTTTTCTGAACACGATTAAACTTTTGGAATAAACGAGCCCCCCCCCCCCCCCCCCCCTCCGCCCCCCCCCAGGATTTTCCCCCCCCGGGAGCCAGCCGCGGGGGCAGAGCCGTAGGTGCCGTTCCGGAACTAGCCAGCGGAGGGCACCCTAATGCAGCGAGAGCTGCCAGCGCCGCCGGGTGAGAAGTTCACGGCTCACCTGCTGGCTCCCCCCGCCCTGTGGGGAGGCAGAAAGGGAAGGCTCGGCCCGGCGGGGTACCGGAGGCCTGCGGGGACCCTGAATCCGCACCCAGGCAGGCCACTCCGCCTCTGGTCTCCTCCGGAACGAGCCGCAGGTGACCGCCTGCCGCGAGGGCGGGGCTGGGCCTCCCGGGTCCCGCCGCTGCGCTCCCCGCGCTGTTCCACTCCACGCGTCCCCCCTCTCGCTTCCTCGCCTCCTCTCCTGGGGGCTCCTAGGTCACCGGGCTCTCTCTGGCCTGGCCAGAACGCTGGCAGCCTGCAAGGTGGTTAAGCCCTTGGCCGTTGGAAGCAGACTGATCAGTGTCTGAATCCCAGTTCTTCCATTTAACTGCGTGGCCTTGGGCCAGAATTTGGCTGCCCTGAGACTCAATTTCCTTATCTGTGCACTGAGGGTAATGATGCAGCCGGATAGCGCTCTTAGGGACATTGAATAAGATTATCTCTGTGAAGACTTTTAGCACGAGGCCTGGTACCTATTAAGCATTCAAAAAAAAAATAGTATTATTATTATTGTCATATTATTGTGCTAGCCCAATGTATCTGTGATTATCTCTATCAGCGGGTTCATGGGTATCTGCCCCTTGTTCCTGGGAGCATTAAAAGGAACATTAAATGTATTTATTTACCAAACCAACAAGTATACAACACTTTCTATAGGCCAGCAGCTGTTTGACGTGCTTTAAAAATATTAACTCATTTCATCCTTGTGATAACTCTGTTGCTATGATCTCCACTAAACAGTTAAGGGAACTGAGGCCCAGAGAGGTTAACTGACTTGCCGGAGGTCCTATTGCTATTAGGAGGTAGAGCCAGGTTTTGCAGCCAGGCAGTGGGGGCTCCCGAACTAGAGGCCCAGAGCGTGGTAGGTGCACCTGCATCAGGCAGAGTGCTACAGAAGAAAGGGTGACTGTATTCCTACTCCCGCACCTACCAGCAGTGTGATTTGGGCACCATCTAGCCTCAGACCCTTCACTTGTAAGATGAGGATAATTCCCCTATCTTGCTGGGGGTGCTGTGAGGGTTACCAAGAATGAAAATCTCTTGGCTTGGCCCATGGTACATGCTATGGAAATGGTAGCTATTGGATGGCTTCTGTTTTTAGACTCATGCAAGTTCAGATTAGCCCGGAGGACCCAGGACACAGAAGACATAGGAAATACACTTTCTTGACTCCAAGGACGTAGCATCTACAGTGGCAGATGCTGGTGTGGCCAGGGGCTCGCTCTTGGTGCCCCATTCCTACTGCCACCATGGGAGAGTCAGGAGACACCTGTTTCAGTCCCAGACCTATGTAACGGGCTGTGGGAGCCCCTCCAGCAGGTAACATTTCTGCACAAACGAGTTCTGCATAAATGACCCCTGTGATGGGTTTGGGTGGGGGGTGTGGGTTGTCGGCTTGTCACTCTACTGAAAGTCTCAGGACCCTGGCGGAACCGTGACCTCCACCTGAAGCCCTATCCTAGGCTGGGAGGTGTGTGTGTGTGCGTGTGCGGGACTTACGTGGGTGCTCCTGCAGGAAGCTGGTGGTGGGGGAGGAGAGAGGCTGGCCTGGGTGGGAGGGCCTGAGTCTAACTCCCTGCCTGGGTTTAATGAGCCCCAGAGCTCTGTGAGGGCTGCTTTTCACCACCTTTTCTTTGGTCAGACAGGGGGCTCAATAAATCTTTAGTTCTGTGGACTCCCCTCCTGGAATTGTTGAAGGAGAAAGCTTTTTGCAAATGACTGGAAAGCCCTTTGCAAATATAAAGTGCTTATTTAGATGCAAACGAAAAATCCAAGGTGCCTGTGACTCATCTGGTACCTATTGTGCTTGCTGCAAAGACGCGGAGGCTTGCCTGTGTGATGGGTGCCATTTGAGAGCCACTTAAATAACTCCCTGGTGAATGAATTTGGTTGCATTATTCCCGGGCCCCTAGCGGAGGACTCTAATTCTCACCGCTCAGAACGTGTCCTCCTCCTCTGACACTTTCTCAGCCTTCTGCCCGAAGCTAGTTCTGACCCTGGATGCTGGGGGAGGGGGCTGGCCCCCTGGGGAGGCAAGGAGCCAAGGGGGGTGGGGGGAAGAGGGGCTGGTGCTTTTTTAAAAAAGAAAAGGCAGCATTAATCCAAGCATCCAGGGCTATGCCTAAGAATCTAATGACAATAGTATTACTTGCTTTCAAAACCTCTTTTTATCATTTCGTTTCCTTTCCAAGCTCTTACTACCCTGTTAGTACATATCAAGGCTTCATGGCCAAAAAAATGCTGAATCCATTTGGTCAAGTTTGTCAGACTGGTGAGTAGCATTGTGTGCAGACCAAAGGTCTGCATGAATGACTGCATTTTTAATGAGTTGACCAGCTATTTGGCATCTCATGAACAGAATTTAATGCTGTGTACTGCACACGGCCCTGAAGGATGATGGAGACAGCTTTTCCAAGGCCGATTTTCCTTCCTAGAACAGAGGAGAGGCTCCATCTTGAGGTTTTGTAATGACTGGGTTCATGCGACATGCAAGCCAAGAAGAAAGCATCCTTCCCCACTGGGGTGTAAGGCATGGCTTGTTCCCCAGATTTCAGGTAGTGAGGGCAATGCATTCTGGGGCTTTTCCTGGAGGGGATGGGAGCCAGTTTGAGGTTTACTCTTTTGGCGGTGGTGGGAAATGGAAGAGTAGGTCAGGCGTGACTGCCGCCCTTGGGAAGGTGCTCTAGTGCAGTTGGAAAGACGCACCCTCTCCTGACCACCTCAAGGTCTGCAAAGAAATGCTGGCTGAATTCAGTTCCCAAATGCGTGTGCTGGGCACAGCCTCGCCTGCCGGCCCCACCTGCCAGCCCCACGCATGTGAGTGTGTGGGGGTGGAGAGCGGAGGCACCATCTCAAGAGGGTAGAGAGGAGGGCCAGGAACCAGGAGGCTAGGAGGGGGCTGCCCCACAGCTTCTCCTGGGAGCTCCAAGGCTGATCTTCACCCACTCACTCGTGTTCTTTCTGAAGGTACATATTTGCACTCTGAACACTGGCTACCTTCAGGCAAGGACCACTCGGTGCCGATTAAAATTCTTCATTCAGTGTCTATAACCGGCACGGCAGGGAGACTCACAGGTGATAAGGAGCTAGGACTACTGTACGGGTTTGGGGTGGGAGAGGTGATGATAAGCAAACCAGGGGCCATCTGCTTCTTATATCACTTATATATTTAGGTACTAAGTGTCCAAAAATCACACAAAAATCTTACATGTTCTAAGCAGAGTTCTATTCTCAGAGAGCTAAATATGTTATAAAATCCCTAACTATCCCTTCATTTTAAAACAGCTTTATCAAGATACAATTCACGTATTGCACACTTCATTCACTTAAAGTGTACAATTCAATGTTTTGGGGGGTATTTATAGAATCATGCGACTATCTCCCTTTATTTTTAAACACATCCTTTAATGGTATGAGTCCCAGCCTTATGGACACGTTCTTTAATTCTCCTTCTCAGCTGGAGACAACCAACTGCTTCTCAAGTGGTAAAAGTCAAGAGACTATCGGTTGACTGATTGGCCTGCAGTATATCACTAGTGGGCAGGGTTTTCGGGTCCATCCTTTGGTTATTGTTCGAGATTCCCACATCAGCACATGAAAGTGAGTTTAGGCTGTTGGTAGAGAGGGCAAAGGCCCTGGTCCTGCAAAGGTCAAACACTGGGAAATGAGGAGGACCTGCTCTAGGACCTCTTGTTAAAGGCAGACTGGAGATGTCTTGAGATAGTTACAGAGAAAGCACCATGAGAATTCAGGGGTGACGGAATCAAGTTGTAGAAATTTGCAAGGGCTTCGTGGCACAAGGGGCAGGTGTGGTAGACCGTGAAGCAAGAGAAGGATGTGGGGTAACCCAGAAAGAGATGAGATTGAAAAGATGGACTGAGGCCATAGGGCAGAAAACTTTGACTCCTAGGCTGTGAAGGTAATTCTGATATTTACTCTTTAGGCCAAGGAGACACTGCAGAGTTATGGGGAGGGCAATGGGCATTTGGACTTTAGTCCTGGGGAAATGATTCTGAGAGAGGCATGTAGTTAGGAGGCTGCGGCAGAAGTCTGGTGACAGGTCATAGGAACATAAAATAAGCAGGCATAGTAAGAAAGGGAAATCCGGCGGGGGTGGGGGGGGGGGCGGAATGGCAAAAAATGAAGTCTAGAAGCCTTGATTGCTTAGATATGGGAGATCAGGAAGAGGAAGGGGACAAAACCTGAGATTGTAAGGCAATTAAGAGATGACGGTTTGGTGCTTTGATGGTTTGGCTTTTAAAGTTTTGAGGAGCCAATCAGCCATCTAGGTGGTAATATGGTTTGAAACTCAGGGGAGATCTCAAGGGTGTAGCTGGAGATTTGAGGGGGCTTAGCACAAAGCCCAAGATTATGAACTTGGAGTCAGATAGACATGAATTCCAATGCTGACACTGCTCCAGACAAGGGGTGTATCTTTAGGTCAATTCCTTAATTCCCCTAAGAAGTTGGAAGTGAAGCCAATAGTAGCGGGTCAGTTGTTGTGAAGATGGAACGAGTGAGTGCCTGTCAGAGCCTGAGCACAGTGGGGTCAGTTCTCAATGACTGGCAGACCTTGTTTGGGCTCCCCTGTTCAAGCTAAGGAGGGGGTAGATGGAGCTGCTGGGAGAAAAAGGGCGGAGGAGAGAGAAAAGGTAGACAAGAGGAAAAGTGAGGAACAGAAGTGCCCAGGGCCAGGGTACCCTGTTCTTCGGGATGGAAAGCGATGCCACTTGGGAGTCACAATCACAGAGATCCACTCACTCCAGCAACCGAAAAGCTATTCTAAAGAGACATCATTGTTTACTTGTTTGCTTTAAACTCTATGAAGGAAATAAATAAACAAACAAACAACCAAATAAATAAATCACAGCCATACTTCCTAAAATTGCCCTTCTCCCCATCCACATCTCTCCCTTCCTTGCAGGTCTTTCCACGCTTTTCTCTTTCCTCACCTTCTTCCTCTTTTCCCTCCCTTCTTCCCCCACGTCACCAAAAACAAAACAAAACAAAACAAAACAAAACACCCACACACATAAAAAATAATAACAGGAAAATTTTCCTCCCAACTCTTGTCAGCTTCCCTTCTGTCCTTGACCCCGTCCCCCTTTATTCCCAATTAGGAATCACCAAGGGCCCCAAAGGATGGTGAAAAGGTAAAGCCAGAATCCTCTCTAGGGCTCTGGGAGGAAGGAGAGCCTAGGAAATCTTATGGGATGATTGTTTTTCTCCTGTCACTGGAGTTTCTTCTCTTTTGCAGATCATAGTTTAAAAGAAAAAGAGCGAGAAGAAGATGTCCTGGTGGCTGAGTTCCACTTGGCAGGGACCCCAGTGCCCTCAAATGCAAAGCCCGGATGCCCCAAACAGCAGGAGCGACTTCCCCAGGCTGGTGTCCCACGCCGCCTGGCAGCCGAGACCAGCCCACAGGGAAATCCCAGCCCTACCTGTCGATGCTGATGGCGCAGAGGTTCAGGATGCTGGCCGTACACATCATGACGTCCAGGGTGACAAATATATCACAGCAAACGCGGCTGAAGTTCCAGACTCCACCTGTCACCTGAGCGGCAGAGACAAGGCAGTCAGTGTCCCCTGCGACCCAGTCATCTCGGCTGCCTTCCTGAGGCCCCCCTGTACCTGCGGACCTGCCCTCCCTGTGCTTGGCACCGTTGTTGCCAAGGGCAGGCAGAGGCCGAGGAAGTGCTGGGCAGCCCAAGATGGTCACCCAAGAAAGGACAAATTCACAGAATGCGAGAACATTAGAGCTGGAATTCGTCCAGTGTTTCTCAAAGTGTGGCCCACAGTGGGGTGCTCAGTAACGACACACATTTCTGAAGGCTTCCCTAGGCCAACTGAGTCAGAATCTCTGAATCGAGAGCCGATGAATTTTCATTTTAAAATAACCCCCCTCCAGTCCCTACCCGCCCCCGCGCACCCCCCCCCTCACCTGCACGCCCATTCACCAGGGTTTGAGAATTACAGATCAAGTTCAACCTCAGGAGGAAACTAAAGCTCATCGCAGTTAAACAATGGGCCCATAGACATCCAACAGGTAGTGAAAGAGCCTGGGTGAGAACCAGATGTGTGCCCTGTGCCCAGTCCACCTTTCTGAAGCCTTCCGCACAGCAGAGCACCTACCCTATACCCAAAGAATACGCTGAGGACACGTTTTCCACAAAACTTACCTCTAAAATGAAAATCTATCTGGCTTCTGTTTTAAAGCTGGGATGCATTCTGGAATGGTATCTGTAAGAGCCTATGTGAAATCAGTCTATGCCAGCATGCCCGCCTTGAACACCTCAGCTTCAGTGCCCAGGGGGTGGGCGGAAAGGTGGGTGCAGGGCATTGGAAAGGGGCGCAGGTCCTCTTTTCCACTCACAGCACCAGGGAAGACAGTCCTGACCTCACGCATTTACACATGGGTTCCAGGCTCTGAATCTTCCTCTCACTAATGCTTACCAAGAGTCAGGAATTGAGGCAATTTAATTTAGATTGTAGCACATTTCTGTTTTATTTAAAAAAATTTTTTTTTAACATAACCTAATCAAACCGGAGAGTTGTGTCAGGGAGACTGTCACTTTCAGAGTGTCCGTAAAATCCATCTGTGAGCCCTGAGGCTTTTTGGGGCACCTGCCAGCTTCCTGTCTGTGGGGACCGTGGTTCTCGAGGAGAAACCCGTGAGGCTTGGTGTCCTGGCTGCAGCTGGGGGCGTGTGACATCCCCGCTGGGCAGGCCTGGTGGCTGGCGAAGGAGAAGGGGAGTGAAAATGGGTCCAGGAACCTCTACAGTAGCTTCTCGAGGGAAGATGGGAGAGTGCGTAAAGGTGGAACTGTTGCTCTGGTTGGTTTTTGTCACCCGAGATTCTTGTTGCCCGGAGGGGTCCCCTTCCCATTCGTTCCTGATTTATCCCACTAAAGGAAGGTTCGGAAAGCCTCCCTCCTCGAACCACTTCTTTCCCCTTCGATTTATTTCTTTCCAGCATCCCATTTTACTCCTGTATTTGGTCATCTCCAGACTCTATTTTGAGAAACCCTAACCAAAGATATTTTGTCTAAAAGCAACAATGCCAAGTTCAAACTAGCAAAGGGGAACAAACCCCTTGTTTTTGTTCGTTAGGTTGTGGATTTGTTTTCTTTTAGTTCAGCCATTTGGCTTTATAGAAATAAAGCCTAATATGCACTGATAGGAATTCTGGGAATGAGAAACTCATGAAAAGGGGGCTGTATGGTCATAATAGCTGATTTACGGGAGCCAGGAGAATAAGGGATATTTTTCTCAGTGCATAGGATGCTTGTATGCTGCGAAAGCTTCTTGCAGAAGCTTCGAATTTTGTATATTAAACCTCATTTTAACATATGTCTTCTATGCAATATATGTCTTAAATTGGGTAAAGCCCACTTTTTGTTTTGTAAAGTTGTGAATGCCTGTTTGTGTCTGTGAGCTGGGGTGAAAATGTAGGTGACAGAGGATAGTTGCAACAGCAAACTCCAGTGCGTGCTGGGTGTTTATTTGTTCTTTCATTCATTCATTCATTCATTCAGCAAGTAGTTGTGAAGCCCCTGATACTTGTTTATAGAAGAAGCATCTGTTATGTGTTTTAAGAGGTTTTAAAAATGTGTTTTGGGGGTGTGCTTTCGGTGGCTCAGTTGGTTAAGTGTCTGCCTTTAGCTCAGGTCATGATCCCAGAGTCCTGGGATTGAGCCCCACTTCGGGCTCTCTGCCCAGCGGGGGGTCTGCTTCCCCTCTGCCTGCTGCTCTCCCTGCTTGTGCACATGCTCCCTCTCTCTCACTCTTGCTCTATCTCAAATAAATAAATAAAATCTTTTAAAAAATATACTTCCGGCCCTGTCCTTGAAGAACATATATGATAACTGAGGAGCAAGGCATTCTTAAATAAAATAACCAGAGATCATCATGAGGGCCTAACATTGTGAATACAACCTAATGTTTATTGAGAACTTACCTTATGTGGGTCACTGGCCCACGTGACCTATTTCAGGAATTTCTACAGCTTTGCCACTTTAGATTCTGAAAACCGAATTTGTTTTTTATTGTAGGGGCTCATAAAGCTTTTGGGGGACAAAATATACATGTATCTGATAGGAAAGTAAATGACTGTTAGCTAATTCTGTGGGAGCAGGGACTTCAACTTGTTTGCCGCCACATCCCCGGCTCCTAGAGCAGGACCTACCATGCAAATACATTCTGGAAGAGTGAATGGTCTCTGACGAAATCTGTATTAATACTGATAGTTAACATTTATCGGATGCTTACTAAGTCTTGATGTTCTGCGAAGCACTCGACGCACATGGCTTCTATTGGTGCTTACCACCCTATGAGAGATGGCTACTGTTTTCACGGCAGAGAAAGGGACAAAAACTGGGAGAAGGTCAGAACCCCACCCGGGGTGGCACAGCCAGCAGATGCGGGCAGTGCACAGGAATGCAGGTCACAGCCTGCCCTGTTCTAGGGGAGCGTCAGGAGGGACGAGGTGCTGGAAAAGGATGGGAGTTGGGCTGACACAAGGGGAAGGGAGAAAACCATATGCTCATTGAGGATTTTTGTGTGACAAACGGTATCACCTCCCTTCTCGGAAACGGGCACCCTCTTTTCGATCGCCTCTCTCACAGCGTTCCAAAAATAGTGCAAAAGACAGGGGTGGCTGCTGGCCTTGGGGTCTAGTGAAAGCACACACTGGGCAGGTTTTTTGCTCCCTTGCTTTTTAAGCCCCTCATGGCCAAAGCCCTTCAAGCTGTCCTCTGACTTCTCTTGTGCGCCCCACCCCCCACTGATTCTGGCTGGCCTCTTCTCCTGTCTAATTCTGCCTTCAAAATCCCCATTTTCCTTGATCTCAGCTAAGTGTCAAAAAAACCCCACGCTGATCAGTGGATTGAAGTAATTCCCACTAAGGTGCTGTCCCTTAGGCTTCCCTGGGGCTTACTCCTTAAAATAAGTCTTTAACTGGTGGATGTGCAGTGGAAATACTCATTTTACTTTATTTATTTATTTTTTTACTGGAGTCCTCCACATCAAGTAAATAAGAGTAAGCAATCAGTAGAGCTGCGAAGGGCCATGACCATGCCTAAGTAACTCTCACAATTCTGTCACAGCAACCCGATGAGGGAAATAGTGTTTCTAATTTATTGGTACAGAAATGGAGACTGAGAATGGTTATGTGATTTGCCCAAGGATGCGTAGCTGGCAAAAGAAGCTGGAATTTCAAACCCTTAATGTTAACGATTACTCCACCCACGTCAGTATCTTGCCGCGCCCCTGCTGGGAAGCACACAGGTCCACTCAATCCTACCGTTGTAGGAGGGATAAGAGCTGGCACTGGCCTGTCCCTCTACCACACAGCACATTTATTGAGGGTCTGGTACTTTGCCTGGGGGAGTATACTGAGATAAGTGGAACCTGTTTTTGAACCCCAGGGCTTTAGCATATAGTGTGAGCATGTAAGGGGGACACATATACGAGTGGGTGTGGGTGAACTGAGGGCCCAGGAGGGAGAAACCAAGAAAATAACTACGATACAATGGGAAAAGTGCTGATGGTGAAGTAAGGACAAAGTGTGGGGGGAACATAAAAAGGGAAGGGAGTTTGGAAATTAAGGCAAAAAAAAGAAAAAAAAAACAAAAACAAAATCTGATGGATTTAAGCCTCTTTAGAAACATGATTCTACCTTTCTCCTAAATTCTAATGAATAACTCACTACAGAATTCTGCACGGCCAGGTGGTGTTACGCTCACTTGCTAATGAACATAACTAACTCCCTTCGGCAATGCAGAAGAAGGGAGTAAGCAAGAAAGTGTCTTCAGGTACCGAAGTTGGCTATTGATTTCTAACAGACACAGCCTAAGGCAGCATTTCCCAAATTTACTGATTATAAGGCAGCATTTCCCAAATCACCTGAGGCTCTATTTAAACAAAATGATTCTCAGGCCCCACTCAGAATAATAAGCCCCTCCAGTGATTCTTCTACTGCCTGGGAGGTTGGGGAAACCCGGGTCTGGGGATTTGGGGGTGGAAGTAGGGGGCATGACATTGTCTTCAGAAATTGTCATCCCTAAAAGCAGGGCTCCTTGCCCATTCTGTGTCCCACGGATCCCTTTGTTCTCACGGTTCCCTTCTCAGAAGAATATTTGTAAGTGTATACAGTAAAATACATTAGATTACAAGGAATACCAATTATATTGAAATATAGTTACCAAAGTATTTTAATATATGTGCTTCTTTAATAATGCACTAAATAACAAAGCCTAGCGACAGGTCTAAAATTCCTACAATTTCAAAGTACTCGTGAGTGTAAATGGTATTTCAAGGTGTGTACGACAACTCTAATGCGATTTGAAAATAGAAATATCTGTGATTTCTCTTGGGGACAGTAAGGATTTCTTCTGCTGTGGGTTGATGCCTACCTTCATATTTGAAGAAAATGCTAAATTTCAGTGTAGTGAAAATAAAGAAGTAATTTTATTTATATCCAAGTTGATGGACTCCCCTGATTAAAAATTCCTGCTCTAAGGGATGGGATTTTTAGTTGTTTGGGGAGATGTCCAA